GGCTACTTGTAGGGCAATTTAGTTCACAAGCAAAAATAATAAGACTCTCCGAATGTATGTATGCAAACTGTTACATGCATTACATGCCGCATTGGTCCTAACGGCTTTGCCTATGTCATGCAGGTGGCGTCTGCACCAAGAAGTTAATTTTTTGAAGCATATCTGGACAATCTACCAAATTATTCAAGATTGAATATAACAAAGCTGTTGAAAACGTCTTGTAATAACAAATACAGTAAGGGACCCATAATTTCGAACAATTAGTCTATCTGCAGTAGAACCTGCGTTCCATATGAAAGTAATATCCGCCATAAATGTCATTTGAGTATCAAATGCGAGTCGGTTCTCTTCGATATAGTAACGCATGCTTTTATTATGTCGCTTGGATAGTGAGAAATTTAAGGATTCTATTTGGTTTTGTTGAATTGAATTGTTCAATAAAGATCCACTTCCACGCTCTGCCTAAGTTGGAAGGCGTCGTCGACGAAGCTAAGTCGCTAGGCAATAGCACCCTCAGGGATTGATTAATACTTTGATCTCTCTCAAAATTGAGAAGCCGCAATCTATTGCAGTGAGCACCGCAAGCAACACGCTCGATGTAACTTGGATCATCTCTCTTAGCCGTGAGCTCATGATAGTATCGGTGTTTACATTTCCTTTTTTTCGTATTGATCTCTGATTATATATGCTTTTATACCAACTTTCAAAAATGATAACGCAGTGTAACGAAATGGTGGTGTGTTGCGTATATGTCGGTATACCGAGGGAAGATTCTTTGAGTCCCCCGGTTGCACCTTCTCACGAGGAACGTAAGATAAAAAGTTTAAGTTTGTGCTTGACTCTTCGGTACATATCGCTACAAAATTAAATAACCTTATCTAGGAAGTATTGGTATAGCAATGGCGAGACATTGTTTTGCAGATGTTCTAACCTCTTATTCAACTTCATTCTTTAATGCTTTTGTTGTCATTCATCAACAAACCACCAGTAGTTCTGCCATTTAATTTGGTACGGTAAGCTAGGACCTTAAAGTCTACAAAGTAGTTCATTCTTGAAGCTTTCCAAACAGTCTGCATTTGGTACATTTATCAATATTCATTAGACTTGTTGAACACAGTTAGCCAGTACTAGCTAGCGTAGACATATTTCCCTGATCTGACGTTAAGATGACCGAAGTAGCAAAATCAAAGAGGTTTGATGCACAACTTTTGAATTTTTCTAAATTTTTATTAAAGGTAGTACTGAGTTTTGATTTAGTGTGTAGAAATAATAGACACAAAGAACAGGTAATTCGAGTAGTTCTTCTCGTGTTGTGCCGTGGACAACAAAACAACAAAATGGATCTTTTGAATCATTCTAATGTTTGTGGAGTTTCAAAATCTGGTCCAGGTAAACATTTCATTGTCGCTATATGGGCTTCTTCGTATGTACGTGTTCCTTTGCCGCTTACTCGCGATGGCGGACGCGTTATTTAGTACCCATGCAATACCATTTCAATAACTAAGCGGTCGCAGATTTACATAACGAATCAGATCGTTTGTTTCACCCGGGATTCTTCTGAGACCGTTTACCGAGAAGCAATGTTAATTATTATCGAGATTAGATCGGTATCGCTGTTCGGTCTGAGCTATATAGCGATTGGAAAGATTCTTAGCGTTCTCAAAGAACGAAAAAAAGAAAATCGCGTCGAATTGGTCAAACGCGACGTCAAACTCAAAATGGCGAAGCTTATCGAGCCCACCTCGGCTCAAACGTATCTACGCTAAGATTAAATGTGTCTCGTACTGCTTCTGCCTGTAACCATTTATCTTTCACGCTGTACGAGTTTTGAAAAATGAACGGGCGTCTTAGAATTTACAAAAGTCGATTATTTTCCTCAATACAATCGCGGTGGTTTGGAACTCGACGGCAAGAGATTATTTTTTTTAGTTTGAGAGGGAAATAAACTTAATTTTTGGAATTTAATATGTGATTGTCGTACATAAATTTCGTATAAACTGTGTAAAAAAGGTTTCCTAACTTTCTCTTCAATTTAGGAAAGCAAGAAGTAGCTGGTCAATTTCTCAAAGGGTCATGGCAGACCTCAATATTATTATATAGTGTTTCAGGCGCATCGAACTATGTAAAGAGCAAAAGATCAGTTTAAGTAATCATAATAAGAGAGAACGAATGATTATAATTTTGTACATAAAAAGGGATATTCCTGCAAGACATATTTGTCGCTGGTGTGAATCTGGTTCTCAAATTTTAAGTTCATATTAAATGTTTATATTTTTTTCCAAATGGAAAAATTGTGTAACAACTGATATGAAATATTCAGTAAAATAACCAAGACTCTATGAGGAATAACGCTGGTTATTGATTAAAGCACCAACGAAACAGTAAATAAGAGTAAAAAACGTAAATTAAATAAAAATGAATAACTTGATATTATTATTAAATTGAGAATGGGGGGGAGGGGGGAGAACAAACAAAAAAAATTATAAAATGACACTAACAATAAAACTTTTTAAACTTATCCCATATATTCATCCCATATGTTCATATAATCATAAATAGCAGAAAAAACTAATAATTGGCCCCAGTATAATATAATGGTGTTGCTTGTATTTGTAGAAATGAAAAATGTTTTAAATTAGTCATATTTCCTTATGCCCCACTGATTAATTAGACAAGATATTTCTTTTCTTTGCAAACATTCTTTATTGTTTGAGTCAGCACACATAATTATTTATGTTGCCCCGGTTCCGTGATTAAGTTATTAATAAAGACATTGTAAAAGGACCTGACTACAGAATATTTATAGGTTATCGAATAGTTTACTCATATTTATTCATATTATTACTCTATCAAAGAATATAAATCAGTATTTTTTCGAGTTGCTGTTACAATACGTTTGCCATCTTTTAAATTTTTGGTGGTGTGCTTGACAAAAATGAAAAGTCGTCTCAGATTTGTTAAAAAGCAATTAAATATTTTTATTTAATAAAAACTGGATTTATAATGTATACAAAAGTTTTAAAAGGGATTAAATAATATTATAAATCATTTCCGTATTTGTTTGGTTCAATTATAGACTACTAAACAAAGCAGAACGGCAGTTTGACAGCTTTAAGTCTTAGAAAGTCGCAGTCATTTTGTAACAGGGAAAAGCCATGGAAACCAAAGCAACATTTACAGCGCCTATTTGAAATCAATTTTAGATTTATATATGTATTTTGTGATTAAGTGGTTAGTTATTAGTCCAACTGATGCAACTGAAGAAGATATGCTGATTGTCTTTGCCCGACTCGGTCAAGTTATGTTGCGTGTCTACAGGATCAAAAAAGGTAAATTTCGTAAAATATTTAGAAGCTGAGGTTTTTCAAATAATAAACTTAAAAAAAAATTTAGCTAGGTATTTTTAACTATTCATAATTCTTTTAGTATTGCCGACTGGCTAAGAGCCTGCTGGACAAAAATGTCAAAGTGCTATATAATTCCTGCCATGCAGTATCATGTAGTATGGGTTTGTTTGAAATACCGTATACAACATATTATAAATTATAACGTTTAAATTCAATGCATCTTGATATACACATATCATGATTGTAGTACATATATAAATCAGCAAGTAGGGTAGATCAAAAATTAGAAAAATAAGCAATTGTAGATTTATTTTTTTTTTGGAGCCCAACAGCATTTAAATCTTTACGAGCAAGTTCTGCTTATGTTCCTCGTTTCCACTTACTGACATAATTCAAAGTTTATGATTGTAATATAAGTACATATGGAGGGTTTACACTTTATAAATTATTGTCTCAATTTTTTAAGAATTTGTGCAAGATCAGGAATATATTTGTTTTACAATATTATGAAAAACATACATTTTTTCATCGATGCGCCAATCAGGCGAAGGATAATAGAAAAACTTGCTCCAAAACAAGAATATCCCTGTGCCTCATGTGCAATTTTTATTTTATTTTTTATTATTATACCCAGTTTTCACTACTGTGTTCTGGTATGCTGGGATTTATTTGTTTAACTTTTTTATTCTTCTTTGAAAGTTTTGTAAACTTTGGCATTGGAAGTTGTTAAGAGCTTGAAATAACATTATGTCTTCGGTAGACCACTGTTATTCTTATTTGCTTTGGTGTTCATATTCAGTAAGTAGCATTTCAAACTTTCCTACGCAGTATGCTCAGAAAGTTTTAGTATATTTTTTTAAATTATGCGCTTTTTGTTTGCGAAAATTTGTAATAACGTTCCAATGTACCTAATTAAGGTAAACAGAAATATTATTCACTAGTCTTTCAGCTTCGGGATGGTGTGCGAATTATTCAATCCATAAAAATAATTGTATATACTATAGTTTTCCAGTATATATACAATGAACAGTCGAAATATTATATTCACTTTTTCTCAGTGTACTAAAGCATAATAGACTCAATTCCCACTTGCCGACGCACTTGAGTAGTTGTTTCGCGAAAGGCTAGACTGCGTCAAACTTAGACAGGGATTGTAATTAGTTTTTGACAAAAAAAATCAATGACTGTTATTATTTGTGGTCAAATTTCGATTTGCTGCCTCCTTTTCTCCCCCCGGCGTATCAAATTCGCCGTTTGGCTCGCGATCGCATAAAATTCCGCGACGCTTCGCTAGCGACGCCTCGCGGCGCCCGCGCGAACCTCAGTCGCGAAAAAACCCCCGCCGCGGGCGCGCGCCCACTACAGCCCGCGTCGTCCGTGTGTGTGCCGTCACAATACGTCACGTCGCCGGCTCCCCACCCCGCCGATTGGGCGAGACGAATGGGCGGTCCGAGGCGGGCTACGCACTTCATCAATCGTCCCGTCGCCCGGGGTGGGGATGGAAAAAACGCCCGCCTGCCCCTGCCGCGGCGAAAGAAGTAGGGCGCAGATTTTTGTGGTGGTGGATGATCGATTCGTGTGGGGAGGGGAGGCGGCGCGGCGCGGCCAACGCAAAAATGCGGTAGTCTCGCGCGTCGACTGCGGCGGGGAGACGGTTCCTTTTTTTCCCTCCGATACTACTACTACTGCGCTTGTGTGTAAACGACAATTTGTCGTTCGAGTTAAAAGAATTCCTCTCGACATCGGTAGTCGCGTACCGACCGGCGGCAAAAAGAGGACGAACGACTCCACTGTAGAAGAGACCGCAGAGAGAGAGTGGTCCCCCTTTCGTCGTGCCTCCCCCCCTGACCCGCGCCCGAGGCTCCACCCATCGGGAAGAGTCGCAAAAATCGGCGGTCAGAAAGAACTCGGCAGCCGTCAAATTATTATTATCACCTGCGCCTCATACCGCGCTGCTACCGGATTTTTGAAAACGCGACCGGTGTGGTACATAGTAGTTGTTCAACCACGTGTGGACTTGCGGGGTGGTGGTGCCCGGTTTCAGTGTTGGTGCGAGACTACCCGGGAAAGTGCGCGGATTGTTTTGAGTTTGTCCCGCGGGGAAGCGCCCCCGGTTGCCATGCTGTCGGGCGACGCTAGACAGTGAGAGAGCACCGCGACTGGGACACTATGTCCCAGTTTGGATTCCGAACATCGCCGAATACTCAGGTACATCCTCAGGGAAAATTGCGGTTTTTAAACCCAACCGTTACCTCGCCTCGTTCCTTCGCCTTTTCCATCAGAAATAAGACTTGGACGCTATTGACAATTGATTATTGCTTATTCCAGATGACAGGGTTAAACAGCACAGCAAACAACGTGCTATCGCCCAGCTCTTTTACTGGGACTCCGTTTTCTTCACAAATTAAAAGCAGTCATTATCGCCAATTGATCGATTGTTATAACAGATGACAGGGTTAAACAGTACAGCACGCAATTTCGAATTCTGCTAGTTTTAAATTCGATAAGTATTCATTGCATTCATAGAAAATTTAAAGTTTGTTGCTAGTGTGGTCGGTCGCCTTTTCTTCAAGAATTAGAAGCAGACATTATCGGAAATTGATCGATTGCTATAGCATATGACAGGGTTAAACAGCACAGCGAACAACGAGCTGTCGCTTAGCTCTATGTTTTGAATTCTGCCAGTTTTGATTTGTTTTAATTGTATATAATAGGACTTGCAATTCTGATCGCTTTACCAAAGTTTATATGATAAGTTTTCATTGCATTCATAGAAAATTTAAAGCTTGTTGCTAGTGTACGATTAAAGTGAAAATTGTGCTTGCCTTCTTTTACTGGGAGTTCACTTTCTTCAAAAATTAAAAGCAGACGTTATCGAAAAGTTGATCGATTACTATAGCAGATGACAGAGCTAAACAGCACAGCAAACAACTCTCCTTGCTATTGCTAGCTACTCCTACTACTCCTACTTTGATAAATGTCATTCCGACATTGGTGATAATTGAATTAGCCAGATATTGATATAACGTTGAATTGAGTATAATTTTCTTGGTAGTATCTAGTAAGACTTGCAATTCAGATCGATTTATCGATGTTTGTCTGATGTATGCCTTCAGTGAACATTGGGCTTCGCTTTCTTTTTTTATTAGGGGTCTTACCGCCAGTATGCCTTGCTATTGCTAGGTGTTTTAATAATTTTGAAGTCACTACTACTTTGATGATAATCGAATTAGCAAGATGTTTATAAAAAGCTAAGTTAATTCTCCCTGGGCGCTTTACCCGTATTGTGCGGTAGCCTAACAAATTTTTTGTAAGTATTCAAATTAGGTTTCACTGAAGATAAACAAACACCACAGCAATATCTTCCAACTGCCAGTAATTTCGGTGCTATCGCCTAGCTCTTTGAGTGTTTTCGAAATCAATTTTACTTACGCTTTAGTAGATAAGCTTTGAAAAAAGCGACATCCCTGTAAATTTTTATTGGTTTCATAGAACTTTTAAAGTTTGTTGTCAGTTGTTGCGATAAGTCCTTAAACAAATAAAGCCATTGATCGATTAAAGATTTAGTATATTTGTTAAGATTGATTTTAATTGGATTGGGATGATACCTCATAATCCTCCTACTCCTAAGTCTCATAAGAAACTGAATTCGAAAAGGTGTAAATTTGTGTCATATCAGTTTGCTTTACCCGCCCTAAGTCAGCTGGTCTTTTTCTCGAGCTTCTTCTCGTTTTACCTTTAAGTGCTTAGCTCAGGTAGTGCACTGCTTTTATGGGTGGTTTTGAACATTTGATGAACTTATGTTGGTATCAAGGAAGAATTGCAATACACCAAAACACTTTATTCTTAATTCAATTAATTATTTTTCGCAGCATTTTGTTGCTCAAAAATTGATATTTTTGAGGATATATTAACCTAAATTAAGACCTTTGTTTATTGGTACGCTTCATAAATAAGTTCGAAAATCTAAAAAAAAATCTACCAAAAGAAATGTAACAATTTTCCCGATCCGGTCACATTGATCAATATAACGGAGTATTCACACTCCACCAAATTAACAACCAAAATTAACCAACATCAGTGTCGACTAAAATCTATTAACTAACCAAATTGTTGTTTGTTTTTGTATACATTCTCCATATAATCCCAGACTTGTCCGAAATTCGATAAACAAAATGCCAGCGGTCTTATCTAATCTAAGGATTGATTAATAAATGCACCAATTATAACCAGGTAATCGAGTTTGTTTAAGTTTTAGCATTATCTCTAATTGTATGTTTCAACCGAATTACTAGCGAAATACCACGTGGTTTTCCTACTGTCAACCAGAAGTATCGGCCTATCTCTTTTTTCCTATACAACAGAAGCAAGGGCGTTTAGGCTTATTTAATATTGCTTGGAAAACAATTTTAAACGTAAACCTCCATGTCGGTATCTTTTCGATTATCTTGCTCTGTTTTTGAACACATCGCTTAGTTAAAAATATTTTATCTCTTTCGCCTTATCTGGCTCAACTTGGGTGTTCCACGATTAAATAAGTGTATCGCCGTTTCGCGCACACAAGAGCCTTTCAGAAATCACTTATCGAATAAAAGCGAAATAACGCATACTGCAATGATTGTTTGCAGTTAATTGGTTATAATTATTGTCCGGATCGCGGACCACACAGGAAAGTTCACTTGTTCGTCACAATGCGCACACACACAGACTAAATTAGATATCGCCCTTTTCACTTAAACTGGTGGTGGTACAAGAAGCGAGATTATTATTTTCTGACACCCATAGGGTCGATTGGTTAATTCCTACCAGTTTCAAACAATTCCCAAACCTTGACGGCATTTCCTAATTCCACTATTTCACTATTTTTCAGATTTTATGAAAATCAATAGATTTTGTCAGAAGCCCTAGCGACCCTTAAATAATAATTAAAAGATCCTTAGTCTTCGGCAAATTTTAATGCTGAAGAAAAAATGGTTTGCTGCGGCAAGAAAAAGTTACACATATTTTAACTTGTCAACCTTACAAGTAAGTAAGCCATATAAGCACAAGAAACAGGAATATTTCAGCGATAATCACTGAAAGTGAAAACTATGATTGATGGTAAACCAGTCAAGTTCATTCTTTATTCCAGGCCCTCAAGCGTAACAAAAAAAGTACGTCCTGTCTAACTCTAAAATTCTGTAAATAGAATACATCGGTAAATATTGGCTTGTCGAAAAATAATAATTAATGTCTAGTAAATTAAAATAAAATAGATTAACATCCAAGTTAGGTTTTGTTAACCAAAACTATCCACCTGCTAACGACAAAAATATTAATTAAAAAGGACAACGAATATACATGACAAAACACACAAAATGACAGAATAGACTATAGACATACTGACCTAATAAGTCGAGTAATTAGGCAAAACTACATTGGAATACTTTGGCAATTAGATGAATTACAATAAAACGCAAACCATGACCAACCAACAAAAAAAAAAACTAAAAATTGCAGAAGCACCAACAAATATAGAATAAGTCATGTTCAGGACCAACAATAAAATTAAATAAAGGAAATCAGACCATCATTTGAACATCCTTCTTAAATTATAAAACATCAGAAGTACCCCAATACTTAAAACCGAGAGTGTTCGGTCAGTGTAAACCCCCTGTCCTCAATTATGGCTCTCAAACCTGGACATTTACAAGGGAAAATATGGAAAAACGAAAGGAAAAGGAAAAGTTGGAACCGTAGCAAACCAAAAATGCGAGATGTCTTCATGCAAGTAGCAAAACTCAGAGGGAAATTCGCTGGACCTGAGACAAACAGATGACCGATGGAATCAGATAATTATGTTCCAAAGTCGGTGGAATTGTAAGCGGAAATCAGAGAAGACCATAGATGGATTCAAATCGCACACGACAGAGAGAGAGATTGCTTAGATAGATAGATCTAGCAAAAGACATAACTAATATGACATGAAGAACTTTTCTGCTTGTGCGGCTGGTAACTGGCGGGAAGGTCACGAAATTATATATCCTGATTTATTATTCAGAACAGGTTAACATTTGATAATAATGCGAGCACATCCATATTGCCTACAAATACTTCCGGTGACATTTGTCCTTTTAATTTTAATTTTAATTTTTTAATTTTAATCGTACTATTTTCACAAAACCAAGTTAACCAAGAACACTTTTCCTTTCGTTTGGTTTCCAATAGTTTAGTTTCTAACGCGGTGAGATAGTGATTATTGAAACTTCGCCTGCTTGAGGATTCATTCTGCAGCTGCACAGCACTTTTAGAGCACTGCTGGATTCTTGCCGAAACAAAAAATCCTAAAGGTTTTGCAGTTTGCAAGAGGTTTAGATGACTCAACAGTTATCTTGCAAATTTACTTTCTGGAATTTTAGAGCTGTCGGGTAAGTTTTTGAGGACCTTCCCGATTCGGCTGTAAAACCAAGTGTTATGCTTCTTCACTGCTGTCTCAATGTATTCCTGCTAAACCAGAATTTTTCAGCTGTTTATAACTTCGTTTTATCGAAAACAAAAACGTCGCGCTACTGCCTAAAATCAACCCCTCGCGTAAATAAACCGGCGGCGGTGGGGGGCAGGGACTCTCTCTTTTTCTGATTTATAACGATTTAATATTTATTTTGATGGGTGAAATTCGGCGTCACTAACACCCCGAAAGGGAGGGTCGCTACCATCTGCCGAGTTAAACTTAATACCCCCCGGGGCTGTTCGCCGTTTTGCCGCTACTGGATAAGGGCCATGATCGTCTACGATCCGTAATACTCACTTACGAAAAAAAAAGGCCATATATGCGGATCCCCCGGGCTTTTGTCACTCCGATTGGGATTTTACTGCCGTTTCTGGCGGAGATCCATGCGGTCGAGCGTAAAGTATACCTTTCATAGTTTGATTAAGGCTTATTAAACGCACAAAAAGTCGGGGTGTGAACCGGGTCTGTTTGAAAACGCATTAAGCGGATTTACCTGGCCGTGACTAAGTTGACACAAGAGAAACGACCACCGCCATTTACGAACGGCTTGTTTAGGCCTGTCTTTTGAGTGTTGTTCGACGTGCCACGGAAAATTGTATAGGTTGAACTGTTTTTGATGACGTTTTCAATATCTACGGGTAGGCATGCGCCCAGTAAATTTAGTGTCCAAGTTGTACCCAAAAGCAACTGTTTGTTGCGTCCTTCATTTAGTATAATT